CGCGGTGGGAGGCTACGGCGGGGTGAGCGGAGCCGTGAGCGGCGCCAAGCCCGGCAAGAAGACCCGCGGCCGCGTCAAGATCAAGATGGAATTTATCGACAACAAGCTGCGGCGCTACACCACGTTTAGCAAGAGGAAGACGGGCATCATGAAGAAGGTAGCGCGAGGTTGGGGGGGAGGAGGCGGAGAGGGCCAGTTCCGGGCAGGTGGGACGGGGAAGGTCTGCGGCGCTGGGAGCCCTGTGGGTCGAAGGAAAAGCAGCTCTTGGGTCCCAGCACAAAGTGAGAGATGCTGCCTGCAAGGCTACCTCTGCCTTGGAGGTTCTCCTGACCCCCATCACGAACGGGAGGATTTAAGAATGTATTCAAGACCTCGCTGAGTAGCTACATTACTAAGAGTTACTAAAGCATGCTGGCTGATATATTTTTAAGAACACTTATGTTGATTTTGCAGTCCTGACATGCTCAGTGGCACTCTTATTTGTTTTTTTAAGTGCACGTGTTCGAGAGGATCCTGAAACTCCCCGGAAAGGAGTTGCCTGCCGCCTGCTGCAGACCCGGTAGCGGAGCAGTCTTGAAGCCGCTGCAGAGTTAAACTGTCAGGGTTGATCCCTTGACACCGGAAGGGAGACAGGCATGGGCCTAGCCGTCACCCGCTCCGATCGCCGGAAAGGCACGCCCCAGTCTGGCCTGGATTCAGCTCGGTGGCGGCTCTGTTGTACTCCGGCCCTTCTCTTTAAGTCTTTCAGGAAAGGAAATGGGGCTCGTTCTCTTTGACCTCGGATGTTTTTAAACCGGGCTAGGTGTAGGTGAAAGGTCACAGCCTTTGGCAAGCCCCCTGTCGCATAAGGAGTGATGTGTGGGTATATGGACCCTCTCCCAAGAAGACTGCACCCCTAAACACACTTAGGAGTGAGTTCGACTGAGTTCAGAGAGACTGAATTGTGGGTTAACATATGTAGGATTGGGCTGCATGTTTACGTGTCTGGTAAGTTGGCAAATAGTGCAATCGGTAAAGTAATTGGCATTTGTGATAACGGATCCATTAGCGAATGAAGCATTAGACCTCTTAATTGAATCCTTGATTTTGTGGGCAGCAGATTGGCAAGACTAAGTAAGGAGCTGGTTGAGAGTTTAAAACTTGTTGAATTTTTAAATTTCTCCAAGTAGAAGGATGGCTATGGCCCCTGAAGAATGTCAGTACAGATCTACTTGAATAGATTCAGAACTTAGAGCTATTAAAGTATGTGGTATGTTTTTAAAAAACATGCTGTCTTTGATGTGACAATCTGCATTTGTGCCATCTATGTTAAGTTTTAATTTACCACATGTATTCCAAAGGAAGGCAACTGTGAATGGTAACTACTCTCCCCTAAAAAAAAGTAATGCATTCCTAATTTTTTTAAACCAGGCATTACTGTAACGTGTTCAAACGTAGGGTGACCCCTTCCTTTTTTGATGGTGTACCTGGGAAAAATCTCTAGTCTTGCAGTGAAGTGCATACTTTATTATCTTTTTGACCCTGCAGAACAACTTTCTTCTGGTTTTCATGGCCTCTTATAGCACTCACTATTGTTTACTTCTAAGTTCTGATAGGGTATAAAAGATCAACAGCAGACAGAATCAGGAGGAAGCAGTCTTGTTTGTTGCAATAAAAACAACCAAAGAGTCTTGTGGCTTCTTAAAGACTACAGACCTGTAATAAGTCTTTGAGGTGTCACAAGAGGCTGTGTTTGAAGACCAATATTGCTGCCCCGTTCTCTTTTGTATATTTTTATTATTTCAATTTATATGAAAACAAAACATAACTGCAATCTACAACGTCATCTGCATCCTACATAAGACATGGATATATAATAATCATCTATAGTCATCAACAATTATCTACAGTATCCAGATCATACCCTTAACCTACAATCATCTACAGTATCCAGATCATACCCTTAACATAAACTACAATCATCTGTGTTATGCAATTATCAAGCAATTACTTATTTAGAACTGATTTATATAAACTCCTAATTTTTCACTTCTGCCACATTCTCTTGACATTGTAATGTCTGAAGTGTCAGCACTAGGCTTTGTTTTGAGAGTGCTGCAGATTTCCCTTTCAGTTAATTGCCCCTCATGTTTAGTCTTGTTCATAACAAAATAACTATGTTTTTGGAGTAGTTGCCACCAGTCTTGTAAATAAAGTCCATGAAAGTAACTAGAGTAGAAAAACATTTTCTACTTTGCAGGTACCTAAGGCCCGCTTCTGTGGCTTGAAAGAAGTAGTGATTTGTTTTTGTAAAATTCTAGGCCTGGCTACTTTACTGTTACAGGTCTAGCTGCTGTTATATAGGTTGAATGAAAAGATGACCTGTACCCTGTGTCATATAGAGGGACAGAAAGCTGATAGATAAAATTTGAAACCCTTTGTGGTGTAGAGTGGCGGAGACTTAGATTCAAATCCACATTCAATTGGTAAAGTTTATTAGGTGACCTTGGGCCAGTTGCACACCCTCCTTAACAGGGTTGTTGTTGACAAAACGGGAGGGATTAACTTGGTGCATCATCCCTCCGCCTCAGCTCCTTGGAGAGAGGATGGGGTAAGAATGTGATAGCTCAAATGCCACCAGGAGAAGAGATTGGATTTATACCCTGCCCTTCACTCGGAGTCTCAGAGCGGCTTACAAACTCCTTTCCCTTCCCCTCCCCAGAACAGACACCCTGTGAGGTAGGTGGGACTGAGAGAGCTCTGACAGAAACTGTCCTTGAGAGAGTAGCCTGACAGAACTATGGCTTGCCCAATGTCATCCAGCAGCTGCAAGTAGAGGAGTGGGGACTCAAACCCGGTTCTAGTCCGTACACTTTACCACTACACCAAACTGGCTCTCCAGTTCCCGTGTTTGCTCACTTACTTAACATGTTTTGTATTTAAACCATTTTTACTGTGTTCAAATCACTAAATTTAGTCATCTGTCTTGCTCCTCGAAACAAATACATCTATTTGTATTTTTAAAAACCTATGAAAATAGACGATCCAGTGTTAAAGTAGTTTATTTAGAAGTCTGGAATAAAGAGAAGGGCATTATAGTTTTTTATGGTGGCAGTCTTGGTCATGCTTATCTGAGAGTAAGAACCAATGAATTTAGTGGTGCTGATTCCTGAATAGACATCAGGAGCCTTGGGCTATAAGGCTCCTAATATTGACGGGCCTCTGTCTAAGGAGCAAAAGGCAAGTTCTGTTTATAGTTTCTTTAGATTATATCTTCCAGAAGCCAAATGCAGGGATTGGCATTGGTGAGCGTCCAAGAGTGTCAGGGAGCAGTCATCTTGAAACCTGCCTTTATGTGTACTTGCATGTGATGCTGGGATGCCTAGACAGATACTGCCATTCACCACTGGTGAATTGTAGATATAATTATGGCACGTGGGGATTCTTACACAGGGCGGATGGAGTACCTTTTTGCTGCTACTTGACAGAGCGGAGGCTGATACGTTCAATATTTATACAACAAATGTAATTTGGTTTTACACTGTTTACTTCTGCCCTTAAGGTACTCTGGGAATTGTAGTTCTGTGGTGGGGATAAGATTTACTAACAGATTTTCAGCAGCATCCTGAAACTACATTTTCCAGAGTGACATGGATAAATAATCTGAGAGTTGAATTGATTTTAAATCTTTTTGTAGGTGTACTTTAACTTCTCCCTGAGTCTGCCTTGATGCAGCTGTCTTGATGCAGGACACAATGACAATTCACAAAAGAGTGTGGTGTCTTTGCCTGACATGTAAGCTATGGCTGCAACCCATAACTCTGTAAATGTGGCTTTGCCCCTTCAAAATTTAGGTTAAGAACATAGTAAGAGCCCTGTTGGATCATGCCAAGGTCTGTTAAACTCAGCGTCCTGTTTACAGCAGTGGCCAGCCATAATACGCTTCTGAGAAATCTACAAGTGGGATGTGAAAGCAATACTTTCCCTCTCTCCCCCATAACTGGTATTCCGATGCATACTGCCTCTGAATCTGGAATGGCTATGCAGCCTATCATGACTAATTCCCATGGACTGACCAATGATAATACACAGAATTTATACAGTGCCCAAAGTTCATTAATTTATTGTAATCTTTATAAAAAATCTGAAAGGTAAATCAGGGTTATTATTCCCATATTGCATTTGGGAGCCAGGTCAGAGAGAAAAGTGGCTTGGCTAAATTGAGGTGCAACGCCAGCCAGTGCATATTTACTCAGGAGTAAGTCCTGCTGTGTTCAGTAGGGTTGTGCTCAGGGTGTTCCAGGTTGTGCCTTTTAGTGAGCATGAATTGAGGTCTCCTTGATTCCTGGCTTAGAGTTTTAGGTGTAATAGCATGCCAGGTAACCTCTGTGAAATGTAACACTTTCTCTTCTTTGAAGCTAGTGGTCCTTGCAAAAGTCCTCTTGGTACTGTAATACTTGGAGCAAGGCATTTCCTGTTTGGAAGGGTTTACAGAGTGTAATCTCCAACCTGCTTTTGATATCTTTACTCAGCTATTCCTGAACAGATTTAATTTTGAAGCTTCCAAATGGTTCTCAAGAACAGCAAGTCCCAGGAAGACAGTTTTCAGATTTTAAAATTCATTTTTATTTACTCTGTTTATAGTCTACCTTCCTCAGTGCAGATTACAAAATTTAGTAATGCAGTAAGAACAGTCATCCTTATACTAATACCCAAGTTGCCCCCTCCGTGCGGATATCTATATCTGCACTTTGGGGGCACTTGGGGGGCAGGGGGAGGTTTGTGGACATGTGGGGCAGTCCCCACATGTGCACAAAAATAAAAAAAGTTAAAAAAATTCGGGGGGATGTTTAAATCCCCCCAAAAGTGCAAGAGCGTCTCCTGCGCGTGCGCAGGAGACGCTCTGCGAACGCTGCCACCGGCCGGGTGGGTGGGGAGGGGGGGGAGGCCGGGCAGGGAGGAGAGGCCTCGCTGCCGCCGCCACCTCCTCCCCGGAGCCGGCAGGCCGGCCGGGGAGGTAGGTAGGTAGGGCGGGGAGGTAGGTAGAGCGGTAGGGCGGGCGGGGAGGAGAGGCCTCACCGCCGCCGCCTCCTCCCTG